TCCTCTCCTTTTCTCTCCTCTTCTCTCCTCTACTTCTCTGCTTCTAGGCCTCTTCTTAAATTATTTTAAGTTAACTATGGTGTCTCTTTCTTTTTTCTGAAATTACGAATGATTTCAAAAATTAGGATGCAAGGTAGGATGAAATTGCAGTCCAGTCTGGATGAAAACATTTCTCCCTGAATCAACTTTATCGAACCATGGATACTATTGCTATTTTTGAGGAATTAATTAAAACTTTTAACAAAATGTTTTCGTTTACATTGAATTTCACATAACCTTGCATCCCAAAAGTTATCCTCATCTCGGCAATGATTGTCTGCTGTTTCGATCTCGCCCAGGTCTCCTCAGTTCTCCCAGCAGGACTATAACGCTGCTAGGGTAGCGTATCATCTCGAGACATTAACCATTACATCACACCGCCACAAGGTCCCTTCGGCCACAGGGCGGAATTAAATTCTTCGAAAACCACTTTTCTACAATTTCAAGGAAGCCGAGCCCTTTACCACACCACGCATCTTGGGGGAAATTGTCGGATCTGCAAGATGGTATTTACTATTGCATTCGATTAAATTACATATTTTTGTTCTTTAAGCAGGTTGTTAAGACTCCAAGTGAGATATATTAACCATATTCCGCTTAAACTGATAAGGGGACTGGATAATAATAGCGTTTGGGAAAGCAAGACTATGTGAAATTCAATGGAAATGTAAGGTCTACTCATATTATTGTGGGAAAATTCAACTACCAGCCCTCCTATCCCTTTTAACGAAATAGTGCCAATACACCTCTTATATAAGATCTATTGGTAGGTTTAAAAGCTTACTTTTAAACTAAAAATAAATAATACAGTTGATTGAAGTTGTTTGATCTTGTTTTCGTAACGGGCGTCGCACTATTGGCGACGGAAGGAGACTACGACACTACTTAAGGCCATAAGATCTTAGTCTTTATACTTTCAATGCAGTCTCTTGCGATAGAAAATAAAGATTTGTTTTCTCGACAATCCTATCACAGAATGTGCTATGGGGAAATGCCTACGCTTCCTTGGAATCCACATCTGACCTGTGCCCAAAGAAGAGTCATGGCAGTGTGGTGTGGTGGTCAATATGTCTAGAGTATAAGCTGTACTATCGCGGTTCGAGTCCCGTAGGTATGCTGAAGAGGCTTAGGCGAGGTTAAAACTGCACTCCAGTCAAGCCTGGATAGGGATAATTTTTGGGAAGTCTGACTATGTGAAATTCAATTAAATCGTTAGGTGTATTCATATCATTGTGGGAAGATTCAAATGCCAATCGTTTATTATCTTAACGAAATATGGTGAATATAGCTCATATATCTGATCTACTGGTAGTCTCGAAAACCTACTTATAAATCATAAATATCTCTTAATTAACTATCCTGCGGACAGAATATATGGTCTGTTCAAACTTACTTCATGTGCCGTAGATATGAGGACTAAGCTGTCGTGGTCTCCTGTTTAGTCGCAGTCTCCGTCATGTATGCTTAAATTGCCTTGGCTCGAAATGCCCACAACGACGGTACCAGCCGTTCTTATGTGCCATTTTAATGTGCACAGTTTGTCCACTGACCGCTTCGCCCTTTCTCAAATTGGATCAACCTCGGCTCCGCGCAACTCGGACTAATCCGCCCATCTATACAGCCCCACTCTGAGTCCTCTTTACCCTAGAGCAGGTCCCCGACTCTCGGTACAAGACCAGCCGATTTCGATCTGGCCTCATCAAAATTTGGGCCAAACCGTGAGAGCCTCGAGACTGCCACGTCGACCTCCGACATATTCCAGGCCTAGAGATAATCTCGAAATCCTGGTTGATCAGAATATTTATACGAATTAAGCATACGACGTTCTCCGCTGTCTTCACCTCCGTCCCAGTGTCCATTCATACTGGCACAAGTGACCCATTTCACTGAGTCTGTCTTGCTGCCATTCTGGCCAAGTTCGCATGCCATAAGTCATGTTTTATCGGGACAGGTGCCTACTGAATGTTAACTGTTAAAAAAACCTGTCTACATACAGCGGGTTGTAAGCGCGGACAACTTTATCTTGTCCTGGATGTCTTGTGACTGTATCCGAGGGATAGAGATGGGTACAGACAAAGAGAAGCTGCAATCGGAGCCGCGTAAACCAGCCCACCTTCGACACTGGCCGGGATTGACGAGTGGCAAAACGCGGGCTGGTCACGAAATTCCAGGCGGTTACTTTCTCCGGCCAGTCAAGGATGCATGAGGCTCAGGTGATATGTTCTGAGCTAATCTCAACTGTGATTCGGGGGCTGGAGAAAAAACACTGGCCCCACACGGATCCACAGCCCCGGTTTAATCGTGCAGCCCGAGGCCCGTTACGCACCAACGGACAGGAGAGGATAGCCAGACCTGTATGTGAAGAAGAGAGAGGCCTGAAAAACATGAGACAAGCGAAAAGAGGAAATAAAGTAGTGCATAAAGTAAGCAAGTTAAACTGTACATCCATCCACAGGTGGAACCTGTAGGGCCATGCATCGGTGACCGGCAGCAGCAGCGTCTGCGTTGTGGTCGGATGAGTAACTGTGAATGGAACATTGGACTTTGGACATTTGGGGGTTAACGGTGACATAGCAACAGTTCCCGTTGCAACCAGATCTGTTACCAACTCTATTCATCCAAGGTCGCAAACGGGGATGAAGGTCTGCTAGTGGAATTTCTAGCAATGATGTGAGTAGGCTCACACTGTCAATAAGGTTCACTTGGTACAAGTTGATTTGGACTATAATTAATTCTTGAATGACAACTTGGTTACTTTAGGTCGTTTAAAGACCGATAGGCGCCAATGTGCCACAGGGAATATGCGAAATTCAAGGAAGGTCAGGCCTTAGCAATATCACATTTTATAATGGGATTGCCGCATGTAATTGCAATTGCATTCGACGATGAAACTCATTTAGGGTATAAGTAAGCCTATATATTTAAGGCCTGTTCAGTATCAAATTTTTATCGTGTGAGTTTCGATAAAACAAACCTATATTTTTTAGTACAATAGACTGA